AAAAAATTGTATCAGCATTAATATTATTATAGAATATTAATATTAATGGTTTTGCATTTAATTGCATGAGAGTAAAAATTAATTTTTCAAGCTGAAAGCCATTTAAATGCCAGCATGCTGATTCTGTTGCATGAGTCCAATTTAGGTTAAGGCTTGTCCAGCATTTTTTGGTATAGAGAATTTGCAATTTCAAGTATTTTGGCTTGTCTGTTTATATATTTATTACTGGGTACACATTTATTTGCCTGACTAGTTCTATTTTATATTAATTTTAGGGGTTTGTGTTGCAGATAAATCAAATTAGCCTAACAGCAGAAGAATAAAATGCTCAGCTGGAGCCAGGTCTGCTGTAGGTGATGCTTGTGTGAGCTCTGCTGCTGTTTGCTGGTTTCATCCCAAGAATATTAGAGAATCAAGGAATAGTTTGGGTTGGAAGGGACATGAAAAGTCATCCTGTTCTAATTTCCTTGCCAAGGACACCTTCCAATGTCCCAGGCTGCTCCCAGCCCCAATGTCCAGCCTGGCCTTGGGCACTCAAAGGGATCCAGGGGCAGCCACAGCTTCTCTGGGCACCCTGTGCCAGGGCTGCCCACCCTCCAGGGAACAATTCCTGCCCAAAATCCCATCCATCCATCCCTGCCCTCTGGCACTGTGACCCCATTCCCTGTGTCCTGTCACTCCATCCCTTGTCCCAGTCCCTCTCCACCTCTTCCGAAGCCCCTTTAGGCACTGGAAGGTGCTTTGATGTCTCCCCAGAGCCTTCTCTTCTCCAGGCTGAAGATCCCAAATTCTCTCAGCCTTCCCAGACAGGAGAGGAGCTCCCTCCCTCCCTCCAATCCTCTTCATGACCCATCYCTGCCACTCTGGGCTTGATCTTCTGCTCTCCAGCACCTGCCAGCATTCCTTGTTTGCCTCAAACCACGTGGGGTTTCCTGGATGTGGAAAAACATCCTCAGAATATAGGATGAAAGAAGTCAGATTCATTTCACTTGTTGCTTGTTCAGTTTTTCATGACTGAGAAGCTCAACTTTAAAATATCTCATGCAGCAGATGCTGYTCGAACAGAATAAACCCAAACAGCCCCAATTCTCAGCTGATCCACTGCCTGCTGGAGCCTGGGCAGGAAAAATCCTGCCTGGAATCCCTCTGCTGCTTCCCATTCTGTACTCGCTGTGTGCTCTGAGCTGGGATTCAGCCTCGTGTCCAACACACGGAAGGAAAAGTCAGGAAATTGTACCAGGGAAGGCAAGGCTCAAAAATGTTCTGTTGCTCTGGTGCTGCCATGGTTTTTTCCCTGTGCTCAGCAGCCTGATGCTGTGGTTGGATAAGGAAAAGCTGATTATTGCTGCTGTTATAGCACCGTATAGTACATTTTTTTAGCTGCTCACATAAAAATCCTTTGTTATTTTGGAATTATAGGATCAGGAACCTGCCAAGGCTGTAGGAGATCTGCTTTTAATTCTCTGCTTTGATTCAGGTTTACTCTCTGCCCCTGGGCAGGTCATTTAATCCCTCAGCTTCTTTTTTTTTGGATGAAAATGGAAAAGCAGGACGTTTCCATGCATGAAAAGAAATTGAATTTGAAATTGAAGGTGTTCAAATAAGCTTTGTCTAAAGCCARTGCATTACAGATAAAACCCGAGTAATTAGTAATAATTCAAAACCCCACCACATTAAGTGAATTTGAATCATATTTTGATTTTTGCATTTACTTCCTCTGAAAGGAATCGATTAATGTTGGCAATGGATGCTGAGATTTTTCAGATAGGCTGCTTGTGAAGAGATAAGGCAGGCACAAATTTTAAAAAAGGGTTATTACTGGGATGCACCTGAATCTAAAGGATTGCTGACAAATCTGTATCTCGTGATCTCTTTCCAGCATTGGTGAAATTTGTGAGGCAGAAGTGGCTCTTTGGGGCTCAGGGAGATGAACTGAGGGGAACTTCAGACACTCGTGAATTGTCACACGATGGTTTCTGTCCCTTTGCCCTCTGCCAAGAGAGCTCCATAATTAATGCACTCTTTTCTGAATGCTGGCCTTGGGCTTCCCCTGAATTCTGTCTCCTCAGCTCTGTAAACCCAACAAATATCTGTATTTTTCTCTTCAGAGTGTAACGGTAGGTCCTGGGAGRTTTTATAGAGTGAGAACAGAAGATCTTCCCTAAAATAACAGCAGGGACATCCTGAGTCCTGGAGATCATTACAGCTTTCTCTCAGTCTCCCTTAGACAGCTTTATTGCTCAGTKCTGATGGGCCCCAAATAGATTGGATGTGACAGAAATCCCTGTCTGCAAATCCCAAAGCCGAGGAGATGGATCTTGGTGTCACCAGGTAATCACACAAATTCCCCAATACTCCTTCTTTGCTTTAGCTGTCCTGTTCCTCTGATGGATTGCCACAAAACAGCAATTTTGGGAAGATTTCTGTGCCTACAGGAATAAACCATGTCTGTGTGGTTCTCCTGGATTCCAGGCAGTGCAGCTCTTGCTGTAAAGGGGCTGAAGCATGTGCTGCACATCCAGCTGCTTCCTGGGGTTAGCAGAGCTCCTGTGCCACAAATGGCTGTGAAAACTGGGGAAGATTTAATGTTTTGGATGTTCTTCTGCTGCTCTGGAGCTGTGGAAGCATCTGGGATTTGAAGATACTCTGTCAGAAGCCCTGAGCATCAAGAATTTTGGGTTTTTTGTTTCCAGATCCTCTGGCCACAAGAACATACAGAATCCCCCTTCCCCTTCACCATGTGGGTGAAGGCTTTTTTAGGCAGAAGGTGCCATTTCTCAGGAGAGTCTGAATTTACAGCAGCCTTCTTGGTATTATCAGAAGCTGGGTTTTTTAATGGCATTGGGGGGAAAAAGAGGGAAGAATTTAAGCCCCTGGGGCAGTTTTACTTTCTTTCATCACCCTTGTCCTGGCACTCCATGTCCTTGTCACAAGTCCCTCTCCTTCTTTCTCATCATCTCCTTTCCTTGCCGGAAATAAAACTGCCTTTCTTCAATTTAAGAATACAGAGAAGTTGAGGGAAGAAAGTAAAGTTCTTTGCAAGAGTCAGTAGAAATTTATGCAGCGTGCTGAAGTCACTGTTTATTTTGTTGTGTGTCATTTATCATTTTACAGCCAAATACTAGAGATGCCAGCAGGGCACTTCTCAACTCTCCAGTAAATCTCCAACCCCAGGAGCCCTTCCACTGAAAGGCAGACAATTAGTATTTTCAGAGTGCTGCTAACTTGTTACAGTTGTTTACCAAATACTAAAGTTGTGTGCATGACAAGTGATAGATGTACCCTTCTTTTCATTACGATAACAAAAAGTTCAGYCTGCTTGGCAATAGTCAAGATTTTTCCATTTAATCTAACATGAATGGCAAAATCTATTCATTTAAGGGGGCTGGTGAAAGAGTTGCAAAGGACTGGTTTAGTGTCTAAAACAGAGGTGGGTTTGTTCAGTCTTTTTTTTTTTAAAAAACCTCATATTTTTACTTTTGGTGGCATTAGTATATAATGCCCAGAGCTGATTTTCCAAATCCTGCTAAATATTTATCTCATCTTTGGTTTTAGGTGTGTGAAAAAATCCAAAAATTCTGTTGGGCTGTTTTGCACAAGGCTTGGTGAACTTGGGCTGATCTTGGGGGCTGATGGTTTTTCTCTTGTTCCATCCTTTCCCCTTTTTTGCTCTTCATTAGATTCTCTTTAGTGAGCACATAAAGGCTGGTTTGTCCCTTTGAACACGAGCACAGTGGGTTCAGTGTGTGTGTGTCAGTGTTCATAGGTAGTTTGTTAATATTATTAGTTGATTTTAAAAGAAATAACAAAGCAAAGTTGTATTTGTACAGGAGCAGTACAAGAGGAAGATTTTTTGGTGTGTCATTCCTTCCAGGTATTGCTGATCTCTGATTTATATGCTCTGATGATTCTCCAGTACCTGCCCCAATGGCCCTTTTCTTCTCTCCAGTGCCCAGAGCTTTCCTTACCCTGGTTTCACTCCCAGCCATGTGATTTTAGCTTAGCTAAGAACCTGTGTTGGAGAAGGGCAGCTCCTGCTGGGTGCACATGATCATTTTAYATCCAAAAATACAGAAATTCATCACCCTGGACTGAATTCATGGTATGAACCTTTCTCCAAGCCACAGYTCTCCTCCAAGTCCCTGCCTGCTCAAAGCAGGTGTTAAGGGAAAAAAATAAATCCCTGCTGCTCTTTCTGAGTAAAACCTATGAGAGAAAAGTTGGGCATTGTCTTCTCCAGCCTTTTCCACACCTGTACACACAGTTCCCTGGGTCATGCCCAAATGTGAAACTCCATAGCTTCAACTCCAGAATATAGGAAGCAACATTTTATACTTCCTCACATTTTTCTTTGGCTGGATGCAGATGAGGCATAACTGGAGTATTTGACTTTTTAGATGAAAGGGGATTTTGCTGTAAATCAGACAAGATTAGAAAAATCAGCCTGTTGGGGATTGATCAGGATATTGTAGGAGTGCAGTAGTCCTGTGATCAATTGTCTCTCTCTCCCTCTTGCTAATAAATAGAAGAATAACTGCAGGCTCCAGTTATTCCTCTATTGAAAGAAATGGAAATTTTGCTGGTTGAAATTCACAGATGTTTCATCCTTGAGGATTTATTACTTTTTTTTTCCATCCTSTCTGATAATAACAGCAGAATTAATAAATGTTCTGCAGCTGAAAAGATGATCTTTGAAAACTGCATAAATCTGTTCTAGATAAGACATTTATCCCAGGCTTTGCATATGAAAAGAAAGGAGAGCAGCAAGTCTCTCACCTCCTGGAATCCYAGAATATTATCTCAACAGGATTTTGCTTCTATGTGCTAGGATTTTCGAATTGTCTGTTGAATCAAGATTGGCATGACTTTGCCAAATGGGATTTCCATCGCTGGCAGCCTCACAGGCTTGATTATATTAAATAATGTGCAGTCATTTTAAGTTATTCTAAGTAATTCTAAGTTATGAAAAGTCACTTTTTTATTCTCTGTCTTTTTTCCAGGAGTAACTGGGTGACCTCTTACAGAGTGCTGGTGAGCAATGACAGCCATGCGTGGACCGCGGTCAGAAACGAATCTGGAGATGTGGTGAGTGGAACGAAACGTGTTTTGTGAAAATCAGAGGTGGGGAAGCAGGGGCTGGCCACAGATCATTCATAATCTGTATTTTATGATTTTAACATACAATATTTAATAGAGTAATTTAGTAGAGTATGCCTTAAAGGCAGCATTTCTCGGATGAAAAGAGCAAATCCCACAGTGCAGAAATGGACACAGAATTCTCTGGGGGGAATGGGGGGATTGCACTCCTCAAAGACGTGAAAGGTGATTTCATATTTCTATTCCAAAACCTGCTAAGGGACATTTTGAAGCACTGATTYTGCTGTTTTCCTGCCCAGATTTTCGAAGGGAACAGCGAGAAGGAGATCCCGGTGCTGAACATGCTGCCGGTGCCGCTGGTGGCGCGGTACATCCGCATCAACCCCCGCTCCTGGTTCCAGGAGGGCAGCATCTGCATGAGGCTGGAAATCCTGGGCTGCCCCTTGCCAGGTGAGATTGAAATGGTTCAGAAATTTCATTTCCTTTATGAAATGAAATATCTCTCTCTTTTTGATATAATATTTGTATTTAATTGTTGTGCAATTAGTTGTTGTGCAAAAAGAACCCAAAATATCTGCCCGAGCCTGCAGACAATACCAGGATAATTTTGGATCTGCAACCCCACAGTACCTGAAAGTGCCTTTATTGATTAAACAAGATTGAAAGGATGACCTAACAAGATTTTCTGTGCTGTTTGGAATAAATCTTCCTGAGTGCACYTGTACAATGGAGGCAATGGGATTTTGCATTGGGACAGCCACTTGCAGATGCCTTAAACTTCTAAGGCAAGAAAGAACAATTATACTTACATAGCCTGGTTTTTATTTTTTAATTTTTTTTTTATTATATGAAATTAATTTTATTTATTATGGAAGGCCACAGGACTTCCCTGAAATATTTTGAAGCCAAGTCCTCTCTAAGCACTGAATTAGTGCTTAGCTTGCAGAGAGGAAGGAGGGGAGGTGGGATTGTAAGGAATTTCCGGGATTATTTCAAGTGTTGTTAAATCCAGCATGATCCTTGGTAATCCAGAAGTGAAGGGAAATTGTTCCATGCTATGCAAGGCCACTTAAAAAAACCCCTAAAACAGTCAATACTGCAAATTCTGGCAAAGCCATGATTTTCCTAAGCACATTGTGAAGGACGAATATTGTGGTGGATTTATGTCTTCATTTCTGTGTTGTACATAAATATATATATAAATAAATATTTATATGTAAATGTATATAAATATTTAAAAATCCTCTTTGCTCAGCCCTTTTCCAAGTTGCTCAATACTCATTCCACACCTCCCATCTGCACTTTTTTATTGTTTTCTTTGATCTCAAATCCTGGCACCCTGGGATTTTTTTTTGGCAAAGGTCTATCAATAGGGTTTTAAGAAATACTAGAACCAGAAAAAAAAAAGCCTTTCCAGAGCCTTTCAGTGCTGCTTTTACTGCTCCTGCCTCTATCCAGAGCCTTGCTGCCTCCAGWTCCTCTGATGATGTAGGATCTTCACATGCCAAGCAGGGATAGCCTGATTTTTATCCTTTAGATGTTTAAATACTCAAGGAGAAAAAGTAGAGTTTGGGATGTGGAAGGCATAAATCTCTGCCAAAGAGAAGTGTGGGTCAAGTATTGATTTAGTTAAATTCATAATCTATATTTTATAATTTTAACATACAATATTTAATAATTGTAGGTTTTAGATAATCTATTTTTATGTAGATAATCTGTTTGTATATAATTATAATTAATAATTTTAAATTTATTTAAAGTAATAAAATTTAAGCTGCAGATATGTTGCCATGAAGCACTGAAATTTAGCAGCACACAGACAAAGCGCTGTTGGTGGGTTAAAAATGCATCCTGGACTTGATGGCAGTGACCAATGGATAAGAATTTTCACGTTTTCAGGAGAATTCTGATTTCTTTTATCTGTGAGTTTAGAAAATTCCCTCTCTATGAATTGTTTTTTTCCCCACTGTGATGGGCAATTCCACAGGCAGTTTTTCCCCTCAGCTCTTGAAAGGGCTCTCAGAGGGCAATGTTTTATCCCAAATTCCTGTGGGGGTTTGCAGAGGACACACTCTGTAAACCAGGGTGTGAGGCTGAAGGAGAAGGAACCTTTCCTCATCATCGTGACTTTAGTGACACACAGGACACACACAGAGGTCTCCAGAGAATAACAGGGATCACACTCAAATTGTTTTGGAGGGAAATTTGAAAAGAAATTCTCCTTATCCCTTCTGTTCTGTGAAACTGTGCCTAAACAGGAAAAAGTAAAAATGACAGTATTTGGAAAGGTGATTTTTATGAAGTGGAGCAGTTTTTCACTCTGGATTCTGACTGGATTTGCACCCAGGACCAAATTCTGACTGGATTTTGCACCCAGGGCCAAATTCTGCTTGGCACTGTTGGCATTTTTCACCCTTCAGCTTCACTCTCTGTCAGTGGGTGAAGGTGGGAACACCTCTGCTCTTCCATTACCATCTTTCTGAGTGCTCTTCCAGCTTTTCACAGATCTCAGATCCGCGTGGAAATGGCGTCAGTGCGTCCTCCCGCTCGTCATTTATGGAGTTAATTGCCCGCAGTGGCCGATTCAGTGTGYTCCTGAAAGAAAATACCAGAATCATTCATTGAGGAACACAATGGCMATGGGGTGTGTGCGTTCAGAAAGTAATTGGACTGAGGAACTAATAGGTTTTGATAAGTGCTGACCCATCTTTTTAGCTCAGACAGAGCTGGCGTTTCTTTCTCCTCGCTCGTTTTGTGCGTCGCACGCGAGGCACCCCGGACAAAGCTGTTCCTCAGGTTGCAGAGGCCTTTCCATGCACGTTTTCTTCCTCTAGGATGGGGCATTTTTTTTGCAGCTCCCTCTGAGTGGATTCCTCACCCTTTTTTGGTGTCATTTTGCTCGTTCCAAGTTGGATATCCGCAGGGTTTGGCAGTGATTTTGACGGTGCTGCTCTGACACTCTCTGTTGACTGTGGGACTTCAAATCCTGTTTTCTGGCAGTTTTTTCCCATAAAATTAACCAATTCTCCTAAATTCACCAAAATCAGAAGGTGGAGCTCTGTTAGTTCACACAGCTCTAGCTTTTCCAAAACCCAGTGACATGGGACATAGAGAAATAACCCAACAGAAGGAATCTGGAAGGAAATAAACCCATTTTTCATAACTCTGAATTTCTTTTTGAGTCCTCTAGTCTTGTAATTTTAGGGTTTATGTCTTTATTAATCTCTGAATATTTCAAATCTCTCAAATCATTGGCATTCAGTCCGTGCTCTGTATCAGCTTTCCATCAAGCAGGCTCACAAGGGAGGGTAATAATAAGGAGAAAGGATAAAAGGTAAAGACAAAACCTGAATAAGATTGATATTCTAGGAAAGCTTGTTAACACTGCCAGAATGAGATGGAAATGGTTAAAGCCTGCTGGAAGCCATTCCTTTGGGTAAGGCTCTGTCCATTAAACCTACTGCATGTGGTAGATACACCAAAAAATGGATAAATCATGATAAAACACGATCTGGATAATTGAAACAGGGAAAACACGGCTTATCTAATCTGTATGATATAAGATTATAAAAATATATAGTATTATATATAACTGGTATAAGATTATCATTTTTATCAGTGAAATGATTATATCTTATCCATAACATACATTTTTTGTTGTATCACAGGCTGGTTTGGACAAACARCTTTTTCTAGACTGTTAGTAGCTCTAAAAAATAAAAAAATCTGTGTTATCCAGCTGTGTCAATGCTGTGTTCTGGGCAACAAAAGGGATTTGCTGTTTCACCAAGGGAAAAGCATTTCTGTGTGGAGGAAAGATGCCAGAAAATCCTAAAAGATGCCAGAAAATCCTACCTAGAGCAACAATCAGCGCTGCCATGTCTCGCTGGGCAAAAAGAGGACAAAACCCACGAGCATAATTCCTTCTCCACTCTCCAAAATTGCTGTTATTTACACAGATGGAGACTGACACACACAATCTTKTGCAGTTGCCTCAGAGGGATGGATGTACCCTCTTTGCCTTTTCTTTCTCAAACCTAAGGAAGGTCAAGAAGGAATTTTGTATGATCAAAAATGCCCAGAGATTGGAGAGGGAAAATCGGTTGAGTTCTTCATGCATTTATTTATATTGTAGAGTATTCGAGGCAAGAGGCAATTATTTTAATGGAATAAATTTGTGATGAAATTTAATTTTTAATAGTTCTTACAGAGAAAACTCACTGGTACCATGATTATGCCATTACTTTGAATCCRAGATAAAAAATGAACTTTAACAACTCTGTAATGGAGCTCTGTGTTTTGCAGTGGCTCCAGTCTTATTTTTATTGCTTCTCTCTTAGTGCCAGGCTACCTGTCCAAGTCTAGAATTGTTCATTTCTTGATAAAAATGTGACTTTCTACAAGTATCTTTCATAAATTCTAATGTAAACAGCAGCTTTAAACCCAGCAAACAACTTCTGAGAGTAAAAGGAAAAAGGAATCCACCTATAGCTGAAAAATATTATTTCATTGTTGATTTAATGTGTGATGCTAATGCTCCTGAGCAATGTTTATGAGGCTGCCATGAAACAGATCATGTGGAAAAAAACTTAGGATCACCTGATGTGGCTGCCAGTGGATTTATTTCARGATTACACATGTGCTGTCTGTGAGATGTTCAGTTTTGTGAAGACAAGCCAAATTCACTTAAATTACATGGAAATTTAAAAAAAAAATCAGTGATTTGCAAAATAGCATGTTGGGGTTTTTAAGGCACTCTAAAGGATTTAGAGCAGAATACTCTTTTTATTAAAAACTTCTCTGAATCACTTGGATTGACATAATTTTGTCCWGCTTTTGGAGAACTTCTGTGCTCACAAAGCTCCTTTAGTACAAAACCACCCAGCTCAGGGCAGGATTCCTGTAAGAATGAAGCAGGGAACAAATCCTGTTGGGAATGGGCACAAGTTTTGCTTTCTAAATGAGAGGTTTTTGGTAATATTCCCTTGTGAGTGTTGATTTCAAGAAATCACAGATTTCACATCTTGCCTTATAAGGGCCATTTAAATGAACACTGAACCCTAAAGGAGGAGCCAAAGATCAGCAAAAAGGGTGGGGAAAGATTTTGAGAAAGGGTCTGGGCTGACAGGWCACAGGGAATGGCTTCAAACTTCATAAAATCTGCCAGTGACACAGAGATAGATTAGTAGTAAAAACCCCTAATATATTCCTCTGAATAAATCCTGCCACAGTTCAGCAGGATCTTTTCTCCWTGGAGGAAACAGAGACTTTTTGAGAAATTTCTATAAATAAATTGATATATTTCTGTTATAACTCTTCCATGATTTGAGTTTCTCAGTCACTTCTTCTCTGCTTTATTAAAGGAAATAACTTTTGCCAAAGTGGACACATCCAGCTGTGCACAAGCCCTGTTTGCCTTCCTACATTTTAGCTTTTAATTTCTAATCTGTATTCCTGCTGCAGCAGAAATCCAGTGATCCAAGGAGGTCCCAGCAGAGCCTGGCAAAATTTGAGTGTTAATTCCCTTGGGACCTGTCAGATTGTGCTCTGTCATTGAGGAAGGGCCAGGGATACAATCATTCTCACTGCACAATTTTTTWAAATTTCCATCAGCTCTACAGCACTCCCATCATTCCCATGATATTCTTGTTTGATGTATGGAAAAAGAGCCAGGATTTGAAAGGAATGGGATTAAAGTATCAGGGAAAAAAAATTGGTTGCTGTATATTTTGGCTCGTGGTGATAGAGAAAACCTTCAACTTCCTGGCAGTTTTATGATGTTTATTTTTATCTTTTTACAAGGCAGGGATATTTTTTCAATTATGAGGATATTCTGTGGGGCATTAAACACATTCTCTCTTTTGAGAAGAAGCGTTTTTTTTTTTTTAATTATTTCCATTTGTCATCCATCAGTTTATTAACAAGTAGTTTCTATAAATTAACATGGGTTTTGATGAGAGAAGATGATTTTTTTGATATTTTTCAGTCATATTTGCAGAGCAGCCTTCAAGTGACCTTCCAATATCTCTGCTGCAGATTAGGAAATGTGGAAGTGGAGGCAAGGATGGGTCAGGTTACTGTGAAGTTTAATGGAACTTGCCTATTTCATTTCATAAATAAATTAAATGGTACARAAGACCCAAAAAATTTTAGAATTTTATGGGAATATTTAGTGGTTTTAATGTCAGAAATATGAAACTTTAAAATTTTGTTGTAAAGTATTTTTCAGTGTTACGAGTTTTCTATAAGTCCATTGAGGGTTTGTTGCTGTGGGATGGTAACTGTGAATTCTTCCTACTGAGAATTGTTCTCTTTCCCCCCCAGAAAAAGTCACAACTGACAGGTGCTGATGTTTAAAACCATTTTTCTTCCCTAAAAACTTCTTGAGTTGCAATCAGACAGGACAATACTTAGACTTTTTCATATTTCCCTTTCCCCCCAATAATTTTAAGCCAATGAAGACGATTTTGTGTGAAGCGAAACAATTTTTCATAAAAGCCTGACAACCCTGGCTTGACAAATGATTACTCAAAATTCCAGACATCCCAGATGTGGCAAGTCAAGGAATGTGTCTGATGTTGTCCAAATAGACTTGTTTGTCTCTGAAAATAAATCACAATAGATTAAGATAGGAGCACATCTAGCAGGAGCTTCAAAGCTGAGCCATAATAATTTTGGCCTGGTTTTGTTTTTTTTTTCCAGGTGAAGGGTCTGGAATGTCAAGGAGACAAAAGATTTTTTTCTAACCACATATCCTCCTTTGATCCTTCAAATACACAAACTATAAATAATATCCATAAACAAGGCGAATATGTAAATTTTTAAGTAACAAAGACCTCTGACTTCCACAAGAATTCTTTTGGAAGATAATTAGGAATGTTTATTATGCACAGTTTCTCGTTTCCATGTTTTGCAAGCAGTGCACAGCCTTGGAAAATACTCATCAGGAAAACTAAAATTACTCGCAATAGTAAATTAATCAAGTGGACACAAAGCATTTACCGTGGCTTTTCCCTCTAATTTGATTTTTCTTCCACTCTTTTATCTTGCATCTGACTCATCATTTCCCAATGACWTTTCCCTCTGCAGCCTTAGGCTGCCCTTCTGCTTTTCTGTTGAAGTTTATTTTTTTTGTGCAGAGGAGCTGTCTGGAAAGCTGATGCCTCTTTGCTTTTGTTTGGATCTACATGAATTTATTTGTGCAGTGATTAGAAGTATTCAAATTTTTTTTCCTCTGAGTTTTGCTTTTGAAAACCTATTTTAAGTCCACACAGGACGGTGGAATTCAGATTTCCATGTTTCTTTCATGATTTGTGCCAAAGCACCTCTGTATCTGAAATTCCTAAGGATGTAAAAACTCTTTTATTTCTTTCCTCAGACCCAAATAATTATTACCACAGAAGAAATGAAATGACAACCACAGACAATCTGGACTTCAAGCATCACAACTACAAGGAAATGAGGCAGGTAGGCAAAGAGGCTGGTGTGTGATGGAGGGGGGATGGGTGCAGCTTTTTCAGCCTTATGGAATCTGAATTCCACCTCTTACAAATATAATTAAATTTTCTCTGCAATATACTTTTAAAATAAGTTTTCCTGGTTTAATTTATTAAAGCATCAGTCTAGTAAAATCTCAGTCTTAATTTGTACATTATCTAATGTTAAAGAGGTGACTCTACATGACAGAGGGAGTATTTACATAAAATGTGCCACTCTCTTTCTTCCATGTGTATTTGAGTGGTGAATGACACAGTGATTTCTCCTTCTAGATTTGGTTCTGATTTATCCATCAGTTTTCTCATAAATTTCAGTGAGTCTGGATAATCAGAATTATAGAGCCCAATTTCCCATTCACACCTGTGAAAATCAGCAAAAACTCACCAAAAACACCAGGAAAAAAATCCTATTTAAATTATTTTAACCCTACCAGATTTGTTAATCTCGTTTCTTTAACTTCTAACAGCCAACCTTGTTCTCAGCTTTGTTATTGTTTTCAATTTTGCTTCACATCACCACAGACACAAGTGTGGGTTGTCCTGAAGAAATATTTCTGCCCGTTTTCTCGTCAAATACAAAGTTAATACGTTTGGACTTGATGTGTGTGAATCACTTGCTGTGTGCTGGATTTTCGGGGTATTTATACTGCATGAATCACCGCCGGTTTTTACTGAGCAATTGTGTACTGAGTCACACRTTTATTTTGGTGGAGATTTCATGGCCTGTATTCCTCAGTGTGAAGATCAGACGAGTAGGAACTCAATTGGCATAATTACTGTCAAGAACAATAAAATAAAATGTATTTATGTTGTCACTGCGGAAAGGCAGGTTGGTCAGGTTAGAAATATCTTGGGGGGAAAAAGCCACAGATTTAAAGCAAAATGGTTTTGCACTCTTCGTCTCAGTGGAAAATCTGTGACTGTGGCTGAGAGGAGTGAACTGGGTTTGTGCTCTCCCAGTTTCTGCTTTCCTCTGTGTCAAAATAGTAAATTTGTTTAGAGCTCATTGGATTTTAATTGCTGGTAGGCAGAAGATTGTGGGTTGCATTGCAGCAAGTCTTAAATTCCCAAGACTATTCTTAAAACTTAAGTGCAAAATGAAATAATTACTGCCAGATTCAACTTCTTATTAAAAACAAACAAACCAGAAACAAAAATCACAAAAAAAAATCACCTAACCCCTCCAAAATATACATGATTTTCACTTTTCATAGCTACCCCACCACCAACCATCTTGGAAAAATGCTGTTCTTTGAAGTGATTTATTATAAATACTGAAGGAGGAGGAGATGATGTTCCCTGGGCCATGTTTTGGGAGAATTACATCACATTGCAATAAATCAAATATTGTGAGAGGGAGGGATTTTCTCAGTTTCAAGTTATTTTAATAGAACTCCCTGCCAAGGAAGATGAAATTTGTAGTTCCATATTTTTTTCTTGCAAAAGAGCATTCAATATTCTTCCTCCAGCCAGTGGGAACACTGGCTGTATCTTGTGTGAGGAATTCAAGATTGTTTTGCAGCGCAAAATATTTATATGTGTTCATTTATATGTATATTTTCATATGTATTAATGTGGTTTAGGAAACTGTTAAATGGGTTGATGTGGAGGTTTGAGTACAACATCATCTTTGAGACAGCAAACCCAGATGACAGGTGAAATACTGTTCCATTTGCTGGAAAAGGATGTGAGAAGTTCAAATGTGAAATATCTTCATTTTCAGCATTGTGTTTCCATAAATATTAACAATTCCATAATTAATTAACAATTAAAATTGCATGTATGTGTTACCGAAAGAGCCACAGCAAAGGTTGCTACAGAGGCTCTAATTCAGGAAAAGTTTTTTGACTCAGAAAATAATCACATGTTTGCAATTAAAGATTGGTTAAGGCCAACACAAACATTTCCACTGAATTTAATGTATTTTGAACTTGGTTCTAAGCATTTTTCTCACTATTAATGATCATTTCCATACTTTCAACCACTTTTCTAAATTGATGTTCTTGGTGTTCTGTGAGCACTGCAGTGCCAGGCACGTCAGAAAAGTTTCTGCTCCGGGGAATTTTCAGAGGCAGAAATTTCTCTGCTGATTTTCAGAGACAACAGGCTCACCTTTCCTCTTTCTCAGCTCATGGAGCTGCAGGGATGCAGGGRTRCATCAGCCAGCTGAGTTTCCTTCCATTTGAATGAAGTGTGAGGAGACAAATTAGTAGACACAGATCTGATTCAGTGATATTATTGATAAAGTACAGTTTGAGCCTTTAGCTAAAACGGAATTTTTTAATGCAGTATCTCTACTTGCTGGCAGAGTGAAAAAAAAAAATATTTCTATTGGAGAGAATGTGGCAACCTGCAAAGTAAATGCTGTGCTCTGACACTGTGAGTCACCTCAAGTCCCTTACCTACAGTACATCACAGAGTGTGGTTGCTTTAATTACTCTCCATTATTTTAATTACTCTCCACTGCATAATGTTTAAAAAATGTGATAGCAGAGCCATGAATTCATGAACGAAACATAAAGCTTTTACAACTAAGAAATAATCAGAGAAGCAAATGGAGATTTTGTGCCACATCCAATTTAGAATGAACCAGTGGATCTATTTTGATGCTGCATTTTCTAAATATGTCTCTCTTTTTTTGTTGTTGTTGGCAGTTGATGAAAACTGTGAATAAAATGTGCCCAAATATCACAAGAATTTACAATATTGGAAAAAGCAACCAAGGACTGAAGCTGTACGCCGTCGAGATTTCTGACAACCCAGGAGAACACGAAGTTGGTTAGGATTTAGTTTTAACTAAATCTATTAAAGGGGTGCTGGGGTTGGGGGTTTTTTCCCCTCCTCTTTCTCTGTATCTGCACTAATTACCACTGATGGAATTATATTCTTGGCAGCAAAGATTTCAAATGTATGTGGGAGGAACCTCAGCACTGTATTTCTAAAATGGGAAGAGGAGGGTGAACACAGATAGGAGACATTTTGAATGTGGGATCGAATTCTTTAATAATCATTCCTTACAGTAATAAAATAAAAATGAATTCTAGTGCAGGGGGATGGGTTTTAGTTGTGGAGATTGATGTCGTTTGGGATAGAAATTTACCTTTTTTATGTAGGGTGAATGCATTGCAAGCAGTGGCAAGTCAAAAGTGGCAAATCATCTTTAGGTGAGGGCTGGGGCACAACTTTACCATGATATAAGTCTTTAATATAGTTTTTGGCCCTTCTCACGTTGGTAGTGCCTGGGACAGCTGTCTGGATAAAGCAATTCTGTGCTTTTCCGTGTCCATGAATACTCTGACGTGTTTAAATTGGTTGTTAGGAAAATTATCTTCTGTCCCAAAGAACAGCTGGCAATGTATCTTTCATGTTATTTTTAGACTATCAGAACTGTTAAAATCTACCTCTAATGTTCTAAAATTGTGAGTATAATTTAAAATATATTTAATTTTAAAATGGGTTTGGAGGCTTTGTACAGTGTCTTTAGATATCACGGATACATAAGCTGGTCGTGAAATAGCAACAGAAGTTGCTATTTTGAAAAGTTACATTTTCACCCCTTATTCGTGTAGTTAAGACATTTCTCCAGCTTCACTTTAGGGAAATATTGCTGATTGACATTGATGGCGTTTGACCACAACTCTGCTCCGTGTTTTTTTCCCCCCCAGGGGAGCCAGAATTCCACTACATCGCGGGAGCTCACGGGAACGAGGTGCTGGGYCGGGAGCTGATCCTTCTGCTGATGCAGTTCATGTGCCAGGAGTACCTGGCTGGGAACCCACGCATCGTTCACCTCATCGAGGGCACGAGGATCCACCTGCTGCCCTCAGTGAACCCTGACGGATATGACAAAGCCTACAAAGCGGTAATGGGATGATGAACTCATCGAGGAATTGTTGTCTTTCCGTTAGATGTATCAAAAACGCTCCTCTTGTTGTTGGTTTTGAAGGTTGTATTTTGCGAGCGAGCAAAGTTTAGAAATTAAAAGATGAGCGCGTCAAAGTGAGCGCAGAGCACTGAAACATGTTGGGGAAAAGTGGAAAGAAAATGTATTTTGTGTGATGTTGGGTAATGGGAAAATGTGCGTGGAAAGAAGGGCCACAAAGACTGCCAGAAAAAAGACATCATGAGGTGCCCACTAGGAAAAAATGGAAAATTCATGCAGGCTGTTTCTCATGAGAAACCAAGCTCAGCACGTGAAAATCTGCATTCCTCCACAGCTGAAATTTAATAGTGTGCCTTTAAGGAGAGCACAGTGTGTTGTGCATCGCAATAATTCAGTCTGGATGAGGACAGACACCAGGAAAAATTGTAGGGGCTGGTCAAAATCTTCCAGAGCAGTCTAGAGAAGACTGGAGCAGAAAAGTCAGAGTCGTAGTCATGGGAGGGAATGTGTGCTGTCTCCATTGAAAGATACATTTTGGCAAACCTCAAGTAACTTTTCATTGTTTTTGCTTTACCTTGTTCAAGACTTCATAAGAAATTAAAAAAGAAAAAGGGCCAATTATACTTTTTCAGCTATTTAAATACTTAATCTTCCACTTTTCTGCATTAGAATTACCTCTGGCCCATTTCAAAACTTTCGCAGGCTGTCCTATTCTGAATGAACATTAATCTTTATTTTTTCCCTTTTTTAACTCTAAGGGTTCAGAATTGGGGGGCTGGTCTCTAGGACGGTGGACTCAGGACGGCATTGACATCAACAATAACTTCCCTGATTTAAACTCTCTCCTCTGGGAGTCAGAAGATCAGAAGAAGAGCAAAAGGAAAGTTCCAAACCATCACATCCCGATCCCTGACTGGTACCTGTCAGAAAATGCCACTGTGAGTACGGCCCAGAGAGGGGACATGAGGGCTGGGATGTGCTGAGGGATTCAGATTTACATTCCTCAAAAAATAAACAACTTGGGAATAAATCCCACACCTGATCTAAGCTCCCCGTCAGCACTTCCCTGTATGTCAGTGGAAATAAAAATGCACCAAAAAAGGCCCATTCACCCTCAGGTTTTACAGGCAGAAATTGAGGAAGGAACTGTTTCCTTGAGGTTTTTCTTTTCCCTCAGCTGTTTTGAGAAACTGGAGGACTCAATACCCAACTTTTAGGCAGCAACAAATCAACAGGGAGAAGCATTCCATGAGCTCAGACAGGTTTCGTGGCGTAGATGAGCTCTTTAAAAACTCACTCACAGATTTCTCCTGGGATTTTCCTACTTGGTCTTATTTGAAATATATTCTTATCTTGAATAACATAGCAACAGATCAGGCATGTGCAAAACCAATGCAGTGGCTTGTGCTCAAGTTGTTTATTTGATCGTAGTGACAGAAATTCAACTTCTTTTTGCCTGACCTTTGAAATATTATGGCAGCTATTAATAGCAGCTTCACTGTGGCAGGGTTTAGCACTTTAGAATCACAGAATCATGGAATAGTTACAGATTAAAGGGGGCTCTGGAGATCATCCAGTCCAACCCCATGCCCAGGCAGGGTCACCTGGAGCGGGTGACACAGGAACACTCCCAGGTGGGTTTGGGATGTCTGCAGAGAGGGAGACTCCCTGGGCAGCTGTTCCAGGGCTCTGCCACACTCATGGAAAAAAGTCCATCCTCATGTTGAGGTGAAACTTCTCGAGTTTTAATTTATAGCCATTATTTCCATGTTTAAAGTCACTTATTTTGGAAACCAAAAGAGGGGGACCAGCATCACCCCCTGACATCCCTTTCAGTTCCTGCTGTTGGCCTCACGCAACATAGATGCTCCTGTTCCATGAATTAGTGACATAAAGGATTTTTTAGGTATTAAGGGATGTCTGTAACCTCCCTTCTCCTTGCCCACACCCCTTCTGCTGGCTCCTCACTCTCAGGAACTCCCAGCAGAGCTCCTGAGCCTGGGATCTCCCTCTGAAACACCATCATCCCATTTCCAAGCTGCATCAGAGCTGTTTCTTCCCCTCCCAGGTGGCAGTGGAGACACGAGCAATCATAGCCTGGATGGAAAAAATCCCTTTCGTGCTGGGTGGCAACTTGCAAGGGGGAGAGCTGGTGGTGGCCTATCCCTACGACATGGTGAGATCCATGTGGAAAACCCAGGATTACACCCCCACGCCCGACGACCACGTCTTCCGCTGGCTGGCGTATTCCTACGCCTCCACACACCGGCTGATGACGGACGCCAGGAGGAGAGCCTGCCACACCGAGGACTTCCAGAAGGAGGATGGCACTGTCAACGGAGCCTCCTGGCACACCGTGGCTGGAAGTGAGTGGTACAGGCTCTAATTAGGGTTATCTCGCTAATTAGGATAAAGCCGTTGATGCCGGATTATTATTGCCTTTCCTTTTTATGTATCCTTTTATATATTTTTATTCCCTTTTTGGATATTTTCTGTTCCCTTTATGTATCCCTTAGTTCTCTTAGTATATATGCTTGTAATTCTGATATTCCAGCTTAGTTTAGGGGTTCTGCTGGGCAGAGAGACCAAACATCCTCAGGAAAACGTCAGTGTACCCTGTGCCATCCTAAACCTGAGGCTCCAGCCCTGGGTGAAGCCTCCTCTCTGGAACATTTTGTGTAAACTGAGCTCTGGCCTCTGGCATTCCGAGGAAAAATTCTTTAAAATAGAGAAACATTACTTCATTTGTTAAGTTTCTTATTAGAAAATCCCAGATAGATGTGCTAATATTTATCTGTGCTATACACTGTGTGCACTTTCATCGAATTGTACACCTGAGATCTCATTAAATACCGAGGTAAAATCTTTTTATCCCCTTAACCATGCCTGTGTTATAATTAAAACTGGCCAATGAGGCAGCACTGTCACTGTCTGGTGTATGCTGCAGAGGTGGTGGGGGTGAAATGTGTGTTCTGAGAGGAATATTTCCCCATTTCATCCTGTGTCAGGTGTCACTGCTGTCATTGACACCTGGGGATGGTTTCATTCTCCAAAAGTGCCCATGCAGATCATTAATTATCAGAATTATGTGCACTCGCAACAGTTTGTCAGAAGAAATCAGCCCAGTCCAAACCCACTGCAGGGGGATCCTGTCAGCCTTTGCCATCTCCCAGGGTGACACAGAAAAATGCTGCCAAGCATCAAAAATAGTGTCAGAGCAAGAACAGCAGCTTCAGGGACAGATTCCAGTGGCCCTCAGATAAGAAAATCCTGATTTCAGCCTCCTGCTTGCTGAACTCAGCCACAGATCAGCCCCCACTCACATCCACTCGGGGTTGTAATAATAAGCCATAAAAAGCTACTGCTTGCCTGCTACCATCTTATTTCTTACAAATTTCTTACACTTTGCATGGCATTCCTGCTGCCAGGATAAATCCCAGGCTGTCACCCCATTGAGAAGCACAAAAGGGAAGCCACGGCCTGTGGTGCAGACAAAACCTCAATTTCCAGGAAAGCCCCAATCAGAAACCCTTTTTTAACAGCATCAGACACGTTTGTGTCTGTGTGTGCACTCAGAGCAGGCTGGGAACCAGAAACTCTGCTGATTCAGCAGGGTTCTGCTCAAAATCCTCGTGATTTTGTGAGTGCACCAGTCAAACAACACATTTCCTGAAATGAAAATGTGGGACAGGCATCTGCCACCGTGGGGCTGACAACGGGAGCAGCAGTGATGGCAAACAGATGCAGACCAGAGTTTGCAGCCTGGGTTTTACTGGAACTGGCTCGAGTTTGGAACTCTCAGGTCCTTCCACTGCATAAACATTTCTGGGTTTTTGGACATGGCTTTTATGGCTTTTATGTTGGCCCATGTGAAGTTAGTGCTGGCCGGCCTTTAAAGTCAAGAATTAACTTCTCAAATATTTTTTCAGGAGGTTAAAAAGTGTCGGGTGGGTTTGGGGGAGAAACCTTGGACTCTTGGGTCTGACAGTGCATTCCTGTGCATTTCTGAAAATCCTAAAGCACGCTCTCTGAGAGCTAACTTGACCACTTAATTATCTAATTTAAGGGTTTAATTTTCATAAGTGCTTCAAGGAACATCATTATAAATCGATCCAGAAAAGATGACATTGGCCTTGTCACTAACAGCTGTCACACTGAGTTATATTAAGTAAAGACAGACAATAAAAATGCTAAATATTACCCTGATTTCTTAGGAGCAATTACATATTGGATTTGTTTCATCTGATTTGTTTTGTTGCTGGGTGATGTTTTAATTATGATTTATAATCCTGATCTGTTACATTGTGGGAAGACCTCCAATAAAGTGTTTGCAGAAGCTCTTCCACTCATCTTTTGGGGTGGGTTGCATCTCCTCCTTGCCCCACACCTCGAAATTTCCCATCTCCTTTCTCCTCATCCCTCTGCTTCCTTGCAGTTGAAGTTTCCTGCACAGAAACTTCTCACTGCTCATGCCATGGGAATATTTATTTAAATTTTTCTTTTCAGTCCCGAGAGCACCATGTGCAGCACAGATATCCCAACACCTCCTCATGCCTTTAAAACCCAGCCATGTTATTTCCTGCACATATTTTGGGCTGCAGTGAATGCAAGTTCAGAAATTTTACATATTAAGTTTCTGCACTGGATGAACTGCACAAAGACAAAAAAAAGAGATGGATTTAATTTTATTTCCAGTGTTTTTGAGGCTGGATTCGCATGTTCAGACACCAGGAAAGAGTTGCTCTTGGCAACGTTAAGCCATTTTCTTAAATACACGTATTAAAACTGAGCAATTACTGTGTGTGGCAAAACATTTCACAGCAGATTAATCAGGATGTGATACAGAATGTGAGGGGAAAATAATTGTGGCTGCTTCTCAAGTGGAGGGGAAGCACGTTTATCCTTAGCAGCATATGCCACTGGCTGATGTTTAGGCTTTCCTCAGCAACAAAAGTGAAAAGTTTAACATCTGTATTATATAATCCTCCTGCTCTGCTTCCAGAAGGCACTGAGGGCTCATTAAATACTTGACTACTGCTCTGTGGTAATTGGACAGGAGCAGGGATTTTGTTTTAACTCTTCTCTGTCAGAACTTGGTGAATGCAACTCCTAATCTCTGCCATTCGAAACATAACAATTGCTGATCGTTAACAGACATCTTTTAAATTAATTTCTTATTAGAAATGCAGGTGGAATAAGAAATGAAGCTCCCAGAATTTCTTCCTCTAGTGCTCATGTTCTGTGTCTCGTTATCTGTGTGGCTGTGCAGAACTAATGAGCAGGAAAAATAACAGTGAGAAACGGAAGAGAAACCTGGGGAATGGGAATGTTTGAGCTCGGTGTGAGAGGGCAATCCTCCTACAATCCTCCTCAGTGCTCAGGACCTTTGGCAGTGGTGTCTAATGCAGAATAAAATTGTAGCTCCTCAGAGCAGGAGGCACTGAGGTTCCTGGGGCTTGATTAGGATATATTCCTGATGGAAATCCTTATTGCAGAGCAACAGTGGAGATCCCAGMCTCCTGCAGCACYRTAACAGAGAGAAGAGACACCCTGTCAATTCTTACAACTAAAGACGTCATATATAACATAAAATAATTATTACTACCTTGATTCTCCTGGCTTTTCTATCAGATTACTCATGGGGTAAAAGAGACTAAGGAGCTGTTTCACAACTGCTCAGATAAATCCCTTTTACACAGCAATCCCTGTGAGCACATTGCTCTTGGTCCTGGTGTTTAGGGCTCTATGAATTATGGTCCTTGGGCAGATTTAGGGTTGTATGAATTGGGTTAACATCTGCACATCCTTGCAACCCAACACAAACAATTCTATTTCTATCCAGAGCTCTCACAAGTGAGAGCTGCTTCATGGGGAAGTGCCCAGCATTAGGGATGCTCAGTGYTTTCTTAAAAACAGAGTGCAAGTTTTGCCGTAGAGAGAGATCTTTTTCCTCAGTGCTTTCTTAAAAACAGAGAACAAGTTTTGCTGTAGAGAGAGATCTTTTTCCTGGTTCTGTTCCCATCTTCTCTACAAACAGAATCCCAGAATAATTTGGGTTGGAAGGAACCTTAAAGCCCATCAAGTTCCACCTCTGCTTGGATCAAACTTTCCCCAGACCAGGTTGCTCCAAGCCCCATCCAGCCTGGCCTTGGACACTCTGAAGCTTTGCTACAGCACATGTGGCATTCCTAAAATCCTTTTCCCCTTCCAATTCTTCAGACCAARCCGGCTGGATGAATACCCGATTTGAGTTTGTAGAAGTTCCATTAATTTGCATGAAAACTCAGCTATGATAGATTAAAAAGGAAGTGAAATTATTCCTTTTTTTCCCCTTTTGACAGGCAT